GTCTTTACAGACCACCCAACGTGCCACCGCCTCTGGAAGAGTCCAGCTACTGCTCAGCGGCTCAGGAAGTTATAAGAGTTGGAAAGGATGACTGCCTCTGCGAATCTCTTTGAAGGTGCTTTTCCTACCTAGTGTCCTCTATTCCAACCACTTCCAAAGCTTCCAAGGCCCAGCACCTCTCCCATCTTCACTCGCATGCTCTGGTTTCTCCATTGCACACTCATCTCCGGCAATCCAAGATTGGCGTCCTCCGATAATTATCCGTGGTAAACAGCGTCGGAAGAAAGGGTAACGACTCGCGAGTCGCGGGTCGTATTGTGGCTTTTTCGGCACCATGTGGGGAAGTTAGAGGTCGTTTGGAGTGTCGAGGGAAAGTGCTTTAATTAGCTTAACCTAGTATCGCCTTGGATGGTCTTGAATATTTTTTATGATTTGTGAAGTCGAGAATTCTCTGCGATCCGGGAGTTCCGACCAAATCTTGGCTTTGGCATAATACTTCGCTCCCAGATTCGTAGTGAACATTGCGGATAGATGTTCAGTCTTTGCCTTCCGTAGTTGACTATTTTTTGCATTTATTGTCCCATGGAGTCTGTGACCTTATAAATGTATATAGGTCCACTCTATATACAAGCCAAGGATGTCTATCTTCTAGTATATTGTTGAAAATGGAGACACGGAGTGTTGTGGACTTATGGGCCCTCCATTTCGTCTAGGTTCCCGACACCATCTCGTGTGTATTTAAGAGGTTGGAGTAGGTAATATTGTAGCCCTTCAGGCTACCTATTGGACATATGAGCGGCTGTATGGCGTGGGCGCAAGGAGGTTATTGGGGGTTTTCTATGCCTAGATGGCGCCACACTCGTTTATGCTGTGGCTTAGGCTCTGTGTCGCTTACACTTGTACTTGTAGCGCACACTTCCCACACTTTTAGCTGTAATCCGAACATGACACTCTTTTAGTCAACTTCTACTTTCGTTCCATGAATATTGCGCCCATTACATTGCGCGATATTTCCAACATATATCCCCTCCTGTACAGTATCACATCTGAAAAGTCACCATTTGATTATATACTTAGAGGGGCCCTTCGCCTTTCATTATCTCCATTCAACGAAACAATGGCCATTTGTGAGTGTATAGTGGCCGGGAAAAATCACTGGGTGCGGGGCTTTTCTAATGCCGACATTAGGAATAAATCCAAAGATATGGCGACCCTTCTAAAGCGTTCGAGTAGGTTGGCCGCTGCAGACTTGTGATACCTCGAGAAATCTACACTCTGCCTTTCAAGTCTCACTCCTTCCCGAAAGTCATGCTGAAATGTCAGAAAAGTCTTGACAGAGTGTGATTGCTGTACGGTAGCTTAGCCCGACTTTGTTTTGCGCCGTTGACTCATCGACAATAGAAGCCCTCCTCGCTAATGAGCCGAAATCGTAATCTTGGCGCCCACAAACGTTCCAAAGTTGAAAATCCCTCGAAAATGTTAGTCCTATCATGGTCTTCAGAGACCTCCTCCCGCTCTCGCGTCGCATCCCAGCTAGTTGTCTTCTCTCATTTTGTTTGTCGCATTGGAGTAATACTTCCCCACAAGCCGAGACCCTAACTTTGTCTTTTTCGACCTGATCTCCTCCTTGCGGGTATACGTAGCGTCGTAAATTCGTAGTGGGAGTAGGCTAGTAATTAATGAGGCAAGCTCCTGTTTGCAATTGGAGTGACGCCTTTATCGGTCGTTGAGGCGAGAGGTTTCGTGGTTAGAGAGAGATTGAGGATTCAGAAGGTAATTGTGAGTGCTGCATGACTGAGAAGTCAGCAAATGGAGAGATGCATGTGTTTGCTTTCGACTTCGATTCCGATGCGATGCTTCTTAGCTATCCCCGATGTGCAGAGCATACCGAGCCATTACACCGGCATCACTGGAGGGTGAAGAGTCCGCCTCTGCCCGTCACCGGACGACTTTGTGGTGTTTTTGGTCGGTGAAGTGTGCGCCGTAGCTCACACGCGCCAACTATACCTTAAGTTAGGGTTGGATGGTAGAGTGGCACACCGTCAAGGCCGTTCTCCCCCGGTAGATTCCAGGCAGCTTAAAAACCTACGCCATCTGTAGTAAGAGAGAGCTGCTCCGAATCCAGCAAGACCCATGCAACAAATTTATTCGCGGTCGTATTGTGTTTCGTAGAGCGACGAAAGGGCACTCAGGCAACCATGAGGTATTCACGCTTTCCCCAGTGGTGGGTAGGCACGGAAGAGGTTACATACCGTGAGGGCTAAGCTCGAGTGGCATCTGCGATTGAAATGTGAGTGTGAGTGGTCCAAACATCAACGTGAGTCATTCTACATGTAATGCGTGTCTTCCGGAAATACCTGCACAGGCCGTAGGGCGCCAGATCTGGGCTATTGGATAACCTACTGATTTATAGCCTAAGATAACCGACGCTTCAACTTACTGCTCTAGGTTGACAACTGCAAGCCAAGAAAACGCTAAATCACAGTATAATCTGAAATTACAGGAAGTTAGACTGAGGCCATATTTCGCGCGAAGAAATTTCTGGGTAATTCTAGGACTTTGGGGATTTCACCGGAGTGAGTGTTTACGGATGAGGGCTAGCTTGGCTGTGGAACTTGCAAATGAACCCTAGACATGAATGTTCTACTATTGAATTGAGTCATCTCTTATGTACTTCACCTCTGATGCTGTGTCGTAGCTAGATAGCTGCATGCGCAATTAAAAGCAGACGCAAAGAAAACGGAACCGCCGATTGAGATTTGGCTGCTACTCAGAGCCTTGTGACTTCAAAGACTCGGTCCTCGACGCCGCGTTACTGTTGTGATTCGCGTAGACAATGAGAATTACTTTTACTGTTGTAAATGCGATTTTGTATGTTGTGACACGCATGTTATGGCAAGCAAGAACTCAAAGTTTACATGGTGAAAATTCAAAAGGATAGAGTTTTACCAACGAATTTCGTGTGTTCAAGAGTGCGAGATCAAGCGGATTGTAATCAAGATGTCATCATGGCTTCCACAACGCTAGACCTCGAGTGCAGCTGACACTATAAATACAAGCCAACGATGGAAGGTGTTATGGTCCGCCTCTTGGTGGTGTTCTCCAGTATCGTTTGAGTAGCCTGGGCACCTACTCCACTTGGGAAGGAGACATCTCAGACCACATTTCGCGCGGAGAAAAGTTGATGGATGACGGAGGCATGTCTGGATAGCTCAGGGTTTTTGAGACGTTCCCCTGGCTGGGTATTCACGGATGAGGGTTGACTTGGGGTGAAGAAAAAGCCACCATAACTTCGCAGTGGTACTTGCAAAATGAAATCCGAGGCATGAGTGCTCTAGCTTTAATTGAGTCATCTTTTCTGCACTTTTCTTTGATATTGTGTCATAGCCAGATAGCTGCATACGCAATTAAGATCTGATGCAACAAAAAAGGGGCGATCAGCCAAGAGTAGATATGGGCCCTTTTTCAATGAAATTCAAAGTAAATACAACTATCTAGCTATGACACAATTATATTTTAGAATTTAGAACTTCTCCCTCCACCATCTCATCCAAGTAAAACCTTTCCCCATGATATGTCCTAATTTAATTATCTTTTTGTGGTGCCTTGCACTTGGATGTATCTGAATTCTTCAGTGATGCTTCCTCCTCCCTTTTTGACAAAACAAGGTCGGAATGGTTACTGGCTCTATACCCGGTATGGGCATTGTGGATAGAGTCGGATGCATCATCATGTTAAGGAGTCAATTGCGAGGTATATATGTACACGTATCCTATTCCTGACCATCTTTAACAATCTTTGCACTGCAATGAACATCATCCATCTTCGTTGTCCATCGCAATCCTCGGTATCACATGAGTTACCATTGTAATTTAATTTTGTAGGAATCGATATCAAGAGAGCGTAGTCAACAATAGTCTCGGTATCGTAGTGCGCAGTTTGAACGAGTAATGGGTATCCCATCGTAGCTCACCAGGGGCCAAATGACAGAATAGGAGTTAGGGGTATGGGACTGGGGCTTTTGCAGGTATCTTAGGTGACTCAAGCGTGTATAGAATTAAGGGGCTGTCTATCTAGCACCTACCAGGCCGAGAGGTAAGTTTATTGTACTAGTTGAGTCATAGAATATCTAGCACATTTTGCTCCTCTCTGACCGAGGCCGCACCTTGAACAGTACTCCTTGCCTATATTGTTATTTCGAGGATAATTGATATTACCCGCGGTAAATGGCTATTTAGCTTAGTATTTATCTGTGGAATTCAGCCACCCTTTCCACGGAACTTTCTTCCCAAAAAAGAAAGAATACTACGTGCACAGGAAAATGTCTCAAAAAATCTGAAGCCCCATTCATGCGAGACCTCGACATCGGGACCACATGAGGCGCGTATATCCATCTATCTCTCCCTTCTTTGTGACAGTCGAGGCCGACCTGATCCAATGCACCATTTCCGTATCGGGTGCTGGGTATGCTCTGGAAACTCATCGGTTGGCTTTTCCTCCATGATCAAGGGTGAGTGATGAGTAGGGCTTCGACCCTAACATCTGATCTAATCGTGGTGAGATTCATGATAATGGTGATAGGGGGGATGTGTTGGGAGATGAAGACCATATTTACCGTGGCAGCGATTGAGCGAGAACTAGAGGTTCGTAGGGGATACCACTGACGTGTGTTGGGGATAATCCCCCTGGTTGCTGTGGAATACACGCTCAAAATTTAAATGCACTGGCTCTACCTTTTAAAGGTCAGTTTCTTCTATGTCAGTGGTTGAAGAGGGTGTTCAAATTTTGTTCTATGATTTTTAATCTACAGCGGACGAACACTATTAAATTGCTACTCTACATGTAACTTTTTTTATGAAAACGCTGGAAAACGCCATGGGTTAAAAAGTGGAGAGCATACAAAGTATTGGTACAAATTTTAATGCCGAAAATATGATCAGTCGGCAACCGAATCGGCAGCGATAGATATAAGATTATGTTTCGCGAAATAGTTTAGTTCATCACATCATTCCACCCATTCCTCCCATTCCTGAAATGAATTAGTTAGAGTTCAAGCCTCATAATAAGAACTACTCACCACCCATTCCTCCCATCGGAGGCGCTGGTGGCCCCTTTTCTTCGGGAGCCTCGACAATTGCTACTTCAGTGGTTCCAAGGAGAGAAGCGACTCCACTTGCATCAACGAGGCCAGTTCGGACGACCTTGAATGGATCTACGATTCCAGAGGCAATCATGTCAACGTACTCGCCCTTTGCCGAGTCATAACCGCGGTTAAAGTCGGCTCCAAACTCGTCCATGAGCTTTCCAACAACTACGGAGCCTTCGATACCAGCGTTTTCGACGATAGTACGAGCTGGCTTGGTTATAGCACTTTTTATAATGCTGACGCCTAGTTGTTGGTCAAAGTTTCCTGTCTTAATTGATCCTAATGCTTGACTTGCTGCCTTTAAGAGAGCAGTTCCACCTCCGGGTAGGATACCCTCTTCAACAGCAGCACGGGTGGCATTGAGCGCATCGACGAATCGATCCTTTTTCTCGCCCACTTCGACTTCAGAAGATCCGCCGACCTTAATGACAGCAACTCCACCAGACAATTTGGCGAGTCTTTCCTGAAGTTTCTCCTTCTCATAGTCGGAAGTGGACGGGTCATTAATAACACCACGGATTTGTTCACATCTCTGACTGATAGAATCTTTGCTCCCTTCACCATTTAGAATTATAGTGTCTTCCTTTGTTATGGTTATCGACCCAGTGCTTCCGAACATATCAGCGGTGGCTTTTTCAAGCTTGATGTCTAGTTCGTCTGTGAATACGGTTGCGTTGGTGAGTATTCCAAGGTCTCCGAGGATAGACTTTCTGTTATCACCAAATCCAGGTGCCTTTACAGCTGCTACTTGGAGCTGGCCACGAAGCTTGTTTAATATACAGACAGCTAAAGCCTCGCCATCGATATCTTCTGCAATGATGACAAGTGGCCTTCGAAGTTGGGTCGAGGCTTCAAGTGCAGGTATAATGTCTTGGACAGCAGAAATTTTCTTTTCTGAAAGAAGTATCAATGGCTTCTCGAATTCGACCTTCTGGGACTTGGCATCTGTGATAAAGTATGGTGAGACAAATCCACGGTCAAACTTCATTCCCTCAATTACTTCTAGCTCGTCTTCCATTGTTTTCCCTTCTTTAACGGTAATGACACCTTCCTTTCCGACCTTTTCCATTGCACTAGCGATGATTTTCCCAATGTGAATATCACCGTTAGCAGAAATGGTTGCAACTTGTGAAATCTCTTCGCTCGTCGTGATGTCTCGCTTGTTAGAGTGCAAGAATTCGACAACGGCATCGACCGCGGCTTGGATGCCTCTGCGGAGGTCCATGGGATTGCATCCAGCTGCCACATTCTTGACTGTTTCGGAAAATATAGCCCTGGCAAGGACGGTGGCTGTGGTTGTTCCATCACCGGCAGTTTCATTGGTCTTAGAGGCGACATCTTGAATTAACCTTGCGCCCAAGTTTTCATATTTATCTTTGAGCGTTATTGATTTGGCTACAGTCACACCATCTTTGGTTCGTTAGCTTTTGAGCTGTGAAAATATTATATTTTCTACCTTTAGTTATCTTAGGTGATCCGTAGCTTGACTCGATCAAAACATTGCGACCCTTTGGGCCCAGAGTTGTTGCAACAGCTTTTGCTAACGTCTCTACGCCAGCAAGAAGAGATGCGCGAGCATCAACACCGAACTTGAGCTCCTATTATTTCTTAGGTCAGCATACTGTGTAAAGAAAGCTTGCAATCATATCAACTAAAATTTAGTACCTTGTGCGCAAATCTGAGCTGACGCCCGTTAAATCTGGAGTATAGTGGTTGGAGCCGAGCGTTGCGGCTCAGGCTAGAAACACTTGAGTTAAATGCTCGTTGCATTGTGTGATGATTATACAATTGATGATTCGAATTTTACTCAAAGACCGAATGGATGTTGACGGGCGGAAGACTGAGTTTATCAAGCTAATGGGAAGGCTATTTGCCTGGCATCGAAGATGCGAGAAGCCAGTGGATTAACCAATTTTCCGGTACCAGTAAAATCATTGTTCCGCTGGTAGGCTACTGATTATCCCTGTACATGATGGTATTCAAAGACGAGGATCCATGAAAAGTTCAATGTTCTACAGGGTAAGGAAAAATTTTGCTAAAAGCTATGCCTGGGAGCCCGGGGAATGACTTTTCTAGAACATGTGAAAAACAAATGTGGTCTTCCTTCAAGACACAAAAGTCAAATCAAAGTATCTTGTTGTACCATTTTGCCGGCATGATGTTTTAAGGGTTGATCATAGTGTAGAGAGGAGAATTTACTGTATCAACCTGACTAACTTTGAAGTTGCGAACCCACAGTCATACAGGGCTACTCAAAGTAGGTTAGATCAAATGTTATTAAAGTATACTGAGTTTTAGCTACAAGCGGCTCACCGGCCTCTTCCGTCATGTAGCGAGGGTGTGTGTCCAGGTCACGGGATAAAGGGTTAATACTATTAGTGTAATATCTGTTATGTAATCATGGGTTAGCGTAGTTGTATTCTTGGGGAGTTTCCGGTCAGCTTTGGAATAAACAACGAACTTACACTAGACTTAACGAACTCCACAGGCATTCTGCAATCCAAGATTACAGGCGTGCTTTGAGTTCATAGTCTACAGTAAGACCTTCGTAATCCTTACACGTGAACGCACAAGGGGCTGTAGACAGCAAATTTCATCTGACTATTGAACGTATCAAATCCGGCCGATCAGTGAACACTTAATAGAGCGCCGTCACCTAGACATCTCAAGTCCACGAATTTTTGTTTCTTGTCAGTCTTACACACACCTCGAGTCATCCGGGGTGCTCCATCGATAATCTTGCATGTTCGACTTCCAGCTGAGGCCTTATCTGTAATTTATCGCGTATTCCACTTTCTGTAGCACCTCCTCAATTAGCTGTCGTTTTCATTCGAAACACTTGAAGAGGTTTCTGTCCTAAGCCACGCCCATTACTATCGGAGCCCTAGTCTACGGATCTAAATATAAAAAGCTCATGGTCAAGTCGTTTTTCGTCGAATAATTAAGACGAAGTGCCCGTCAAATCTCAAAACCATGGGGTTTTCTGGTTCCAACAGAAAACTAAAGTCAAATAACATCGGGCTAAGCTCTGTTGATAAGTATCTACTGATATTAATTATGCCCTCAACGTGGTAAAGTTCTATGACTATGCACATATTTACATCATCTAGGACACCGAAGATCGGGCAAAGGCCTCGAGTGCGGAATTTTTATGTTTATTGTCCTATCGAGCTCATGATTATCATAGGAGATGCAGTTCCTTAAATAGTCAATGATTAAATAAGCAAGTATTGGAAAGTGTCATAGCTAGTTAGGCTGCGTACACTTAATAAATTAAAAAGAAAGTATTGGAAAAACCCCACATGTCTGTGATTTCCACATCGAGCTACTATCACTCATTGTAGAGATTGCAGACACTAGTTTGAGCAACACCTTCGTCCTCGATTCGCTGGGGATTCCTAATTCATCTCGCGATTTGTATCGTCTTCGCCTATCAAAACAATCTCCTAGTCCCACTATCATGAAGCCAGGAACGATCACATCAGATGATAGGGTCGATGCCCTTTTTGTAAGACACCATTGTTCACGGAGGGGAAGCTATCCGAAGAGTTTCCCGAACGTATGCAGCACCGTGATACGGCGATGGTGGATTGCATCTTTTATTCAACAGATTTGAATTGCTAATGCAGTTATCTAGCCATGTAACAATATCAGAGGCAAATGATAGAATAGATGAATCAATTTAAAAGTAAAGTACTTCTGCCTCAGAAATCATTTAAAATTACCACGGCCAACTTCTGGCTGCTTTACTTTGCCCCAAGTCAACCCTATTCCGTGAAAACCTACCCAGGGAAATGTCCCAAAAACCCTGGGTTATCCAAACATGCCTCCATCATTCATTAATTTGTCTCTACGCCAAGCGAAGTAGGTGCCGATGCTACTAAAACTGTACCAGACATCACCATCAGACGACAAGCATGGCACTTTACATCGTTGACTTTTGTTTATAGTGTCAGCTACACTCTGTGTGGATTGGATCAAGTTAGCCTCTAATGATACTAAAAAAGGAGATTTAGATAGGTATGAGCACCTCATGTGGTACCGGTGTCTAGCCCTCGCCTGGCTAGGGCTGCAGGTATTTTTGAGACTTTTTCCCGCGTACGCGGTATCCATTGCTATTATCTTAATTTTTTCGGACAGAAGGTTCCGTGGAAAAGAGGATTGAACTTCACGGGTAAATACTAAGCTGAATAACTTTCCATCACGGGTATCATTTCAGAGATTGTTCTTCGCGACACTAGAGGATAGTAGCACTGTACAAGGTATAGCCTGGGACAGGGAGAAGTCCAACGCGCTGTATAGTCTATGACTCAAGTAATAATAGTAATCAAAATAGATTGCAAATATATTACTGTCCAACTCCAGGCTATATTTAGAAGTTGCCCACTCGTGCACATTTCTCCGAGTACCGTGTCTCTTAGAAAATGAATCCTGTGGCGACGGTTAATTATTTTTACTACAGGTGATACTTTCAACGACGTAGTTAAGTATTAGCCTTGGACAGGATATAAAGGGAATTGAATAACAAAACGAAGTAGTTCTTTCTTTTCTTCTTTACCTAGAAACTATGAGTGTGATTATTATGCGTGTTCGCGCCTCTAGGCTACGGGATATGAGACCCACATGCAGAGAAATAATTTGTGCATGAGTTTTCAATGGAATGTTCTGTACTGAAACAGATTATTCTCAGCTGGATCTTAGTGACTGCTAATCTCATCTTCTCCATTAATAGATGAGAAGATCGTGAACTCGTTTCTCTTCCATGAAGCATAGAGTAAACTCACAGCATTAATCTTCTACCTTGCTGAGCTTTTCAACGACAATTGGTATAAACCAAGGGGTTGTCATCATCCTATCGCAGACTACCCGATTACAAGACCTTGTGAAATTTTCAAGCCACATCTATCCAATCGCCCAAGCCTGTTCCATAATAGAGTGACGAATCAAGCTAAACTCTTACTCCACCCATCACACCCCTATACTTAGTTATTTTCCCTATAAAAGCCTCTAGTAAGCTGAACACTAAGGAATAGGCGTGCGACTCCCATCCCTCAGCATGCTACAGCCTTATCATACCATTATACTCCCATAAAATCAACAAAGCACTTGGAGCTCTAACATGATCTACCATGATCGCATGGTTTCGCGATTAGTCTATTTATGATCTAATTTCTGTTGCTCCCACTCATACGCCTTCATTATGACCTGCGGAACCCATCAAGTTGTCAAGTAATTTAATATAAAACACAGATAATCTTACAGTGTATTAATGGAAGTTTACGCGAAATTAGGCTTTGCTGGCAATACCCAGCGCAATACTGAAGACAACATTCAGTAAATAGCAGCTATGCAGACGGCTCAACTTTCACTGACCCCATTTACATTAAAGTAGTCCCTTGCACAACGCCGGTCGAAGTATCCTAGAATTTGTAACTCCTTTCTCGCTTGTCACTTTTTTCTGCCCTCTTTTCACTGTCTCTTTTCTGCCTTTTGCGACTTTCCTGTGCAATCATATCACTCAAATCCTCGTCAAAAGCCCAAGGCCCCTTCTCTTCTTTCTTTTGCGCTTCAAATCTGCGCCGCACCTCCTCCTTACTTATGCCATCTTCAGACTGAAGGGAATCTGGATCAAGAGCCACATCAACATCACCAGGCTTCTTGCGCTTTCGTGTGTCATCATCCTGTCCCAGGATAGGAGGATGTGCCTTTTCAGCAGCGTGGATGTCGTAAGCGCGCTCACCTCCAAAGAATCCTTCTGCTCGGATCTGGCGTTCAGGAATAACTGTGTATGAAGACTTTGGGTGAGAGGACTCTTCCGTCTCGGTACCGCGTTTTTGCTTTCGGAGATCAAAATTAGCACCTACGCTCATGTCCCCAAGATATTCAGATGGTACTGCTGATACCAAGCCTCCTGGAGTTTCTAACCCACTAGGTGTTTGAAGTCCAGCACCAAGCTCTTCTTCATCGGCCTCTTCCTCCTCTTCATCACTCTCCTCTTCTTCTGATTCTTCCTCAGGAGCCTGAAGCTCACCCCATAAATTTCGTTCGACCGGTTCACCTGCTTGGGTGTTGACCTGAGGTTGTAAAACTCCAAAAATATCTCCTCCATAGAGGGGTCGATTGAACTCATCTACGGGTGGTTTCCCATAACCACCGGGATGAAAACCCCAGGCACCACCTGTAGGTGGAGGTGCATTGAGGCCAGGAATTTTAAGTGAAGGGTAAGAGGGAGGTGGACCAAATCGTTGCTGATTTATAAGCCATGGAGGAGGCGCTCCTGGTGGAATGTTCAGTGCTTCTTTTAGCTCATCACTAAGTTCGCCAGGTCGAAGATGTCGTAAATTAGTTTCATACTCCTTTCCTTCATAGTAGACCTCACCATAACGTGTTAACTCTGGCTTGGTCTGAAATCGGAAGAAGGCTTCATAAAGCTTTTGGTAATTAATATCTAGTTTTCCAATTTTTGGCTGGACCCTCTCTCTTTGTTTTTGCTTTAAAGAAGCTTCATTTTGTTTTTCCAGGACTGCATCACGCATCTCAGCGATTCCAGTTTCTTGGATAAATTTTGGAAGAGAAAAGGGTGGTTTCTCCACCCCACGTTTCGAGGACAAATATTCACGCTTTAGCGCCCAGTGAGAAGGTACCGGAACAACGTTTCTGTATGATTTTATGTGCACGAGTAGTCTCGGGTCTGATGCGGATGTGTCTGTCCATTCGACTAATTCTGGCTTTTTGACGAGAGCTTTTAATTCTGCAACGGAAAGTTTATCTCTTTCCTTCCTCTTTTTTTTAGAAAGCTTTGATTCCTTTTCTTCTTGGTCCTCTTCTGGTATATCATCATCGTCATCATAGAATACTTCGCCCTTGTCGGCGATATTACCATCTGCAGGGTTTTCATCGTCCTTTGATAATGCTGTGAAGCGCTCAAGAATTCCCCGGAACATATCGAAGTTTGGGTCATCTTCATTGACTTCGAGAGATTCGAGATCATCCTCTGTTGCATTCGCTTTATCTGATTTTACACTATCTGTGGGTTCGGGCTCAGGCTCCTGTAACTCGTTGGATTGTGTTGCTGAAGAGGTGTCCTCGTTTTGTCAACAGATATACTTGATTCAATGACAAGGATCTTACCGGTTTCTTTTTTTTCTCCTCTTTTTTCTTCATCCGCCTCATTTGGTTTTTTGACATTTTAGGCGCCATTTTTGATTGAAGACCTAGGCCTTTCAATTTACAGCGCGTTGACGATAACGGAGCTTCCAAGTCCAAATTCCAATCAAATTCGCTAGGAATATTGTCCAAGCATCGCTTTAATGATGATCCGGTAATTCCCTGCACGGAATTACTTTCTGGTATCTAGGATCTTGTACATTCGTTTCAGCATTATCCAGAACCCGACGAAAATCTAAATTAGCCAGCAATGATTTGATTGACACGACATGGTCATCGGCTTTTAGATGATTGTAATTTCACCTAGTTACAAATATCACGCCTCTTCCGAACCGGAAGCAACAAAAGTACTCTTATTATCGACTTCCCGGTAGAATCTTAGACAACCTGCAAATGTCAACAGAGAAGTTCCCAGACCATAGAGAGTCCATCGAGAATTTATCAACTTCTTCATCAAGTCCAATCAAACAACCGGAATATATGAGCAACGTTGGAAATTTAGAAAGATGGCTGCCAAGGAAGGATAGTCTACGAGGCGATGCACGAGCTAATGGACACCCAAACAATGGCAGCAGGTCCTACAGACAAAAAAGTCTGAGTGAAGCGATTAGTGCGATAAAGACACCCAAAGTTAGCATTCCTTCAAATGTACATGAAGTTACAGATGCTCTGAAAGCACCGGTCTCGGCAAAACTTATTGTCTGTAAACCCTCAGCATCATGCCCCGAAACTTATTGATGGATGCGTAGATTCTTTGCATTATTTGGTATCTATCGAGTGCTCTCACCAACACATCATCTAAAGCGATTCTCAATGCTTTTCCCAAACCTGCGACACTTACGATGATACAGTTCGCATTTGTTGCCTTCTTCTGCTTCTTCTTTTCCTGGATGTCAATTATTCATCCGCCACTCCGTGACCTTATTCCAGCCCTCCGGCACGGTATAAGATATCCGACACGAGATGTCCTTGCAACAACTCTGCCTCTGGCTGCATTTCAAATAGGAGGTCATCTACTTTCTGCTTCCGCAACCGCTAAAATACCCGTCTCTCTCGTTCACACGATTAAGGGACTCTCTCCTCTCTTCACCGTCATTGCCTATCGATTTGTATTCAATATTCGATACCCATTGGCTACTTACTTATCACTTGTCCCGCTTACTCTAGGTGTTATGCTTGCTTGCTCAGCCTCCTTCGCAGGTAACCTATTTGGGATTTTTTATGCCCTCATAGCTGCCCTTATTTTTGTCACCCAAAATATTTTCTCTAAACGGCTTTTTAACGAGGCAGCTGTTGCCGAATCATCTGGTATTAAATCTCGAAAACTAGACAAGTTGAATTTGCTGTGCTACTCTTCAGCCTTGGCATTCCTCCTAACATCCCCAATATGGTTTTGGTCCGAGGGTCTAGACCTGCTGAAGGATTTCTTTCATGATGGGACTCTTGACCTAGCTGCAGGAACACCGTCAAGACCAGCGTTTGACCATGGTCGTCTTGCAATAGAGTTTATATTTAACGGCACTTTTCACTTTGCACAAAACATAATTGCATTTGTCTTGCTATCTATGGTTTCACCAGTAACATATTCCATAGCATCTCTCATCAAACGCGTATTTGTCGTCATCATTGCCATATTCTGGTTTCAAAATGCTACTACAAAAATACAAGCCTTCGGTATTGCTTTGACGTTCTTCGGGCTCTACCTTTATGATCGAACCAAGAATGATAAAGTCGATCGTAAGGCCAAACTGATGAATTCGAATGTAGAAGTTCTTCCTCATTTTAATCCTCAAAAAAACAACGCCGTTGAAACATTAAGTTTGGCACGAAGTAATGGGTACGCTCTAGCGCGATCAAGTATCGATAAAAGGGACGATAAACTCGGAAGCATTAGAGGAGCCCGTCAACGCGGTATGAGTAACCCTGCATGGCTCTCGGCTGGTACACGCCAGGAAGAGACATGGCGATCTGTAGAAACCCGAGCTCTTGGCGTGGCAGGTTAGGTTTTTCGTTGATCATATCGAGATTTTTGAGATAAATATTGATGAAAGTAAATTCGCAGGACTTACGTTTAATTATGCTTATAATATAGCACGAAAATTTCTATGTGCGCTGATTCATTGGCTGTAAAAGAAATATATGTGGGAAGAAGGTATTTCTGAGTGGACCTCGGTACTAAAAGTGATACATGGGTGGGAATTCTTCAGCATTTTGCACGCGAAATGGCCGGTTTATATTACTATTACTCAAGAGCATCCTGATCAACAAACGAAATTCAGCTTCAAGCTGGTTACAGGCTGTTTGACAAACAGTCTGATCGCAATCAGATCAAAATTTACTTATCTAACAGTGTACTTAGTCGGGCCATCACTTTTAATAGGACTTTCTACGCCTGTCTTCGACCAACTCTAATCGCTCACAAAATCTCTTGTTAAATTTTATGGATCTGATAGCCCCGTCAATTTTCATGTTTGCCCGATTCTCTGCTCAGCTAGTATGACCGCTTCAAGACAGCCGAATCGTCCCCGGGTCCTATGCTCTACTTCCGCCTCCCCCTAGCCTATGTGTCAAACTCACTCGTGACATCTACTTCAAAAATAAAGATGTCTATTCGAGAACTATTTCCTTTGCCTTTATTGGGTACCCTAACTTCAACAAACCATACTCAATTGTAACCTTGTGATGAAGCTCTGACTTAACTAATTAATTTTCGAGTACGACAACCTTGTTAGCCTGTAGCTAATTCGCAGCTGCAGGGAAGTGCAACAATTTGTCTATGATAAAAATTCAAGCGCTTGGTCAGTAGTGTTCCTGAGTCCTTCAACTTATCTATCTCATATTCTAACAGCAAATAAAACTTAACACTAACTGATTATAGATGAATTATTACTTGCAAAGTCTACCTAAGACTCTGGTCTTTCTCGATACCGGCTATTGGTTGCGACTGAAATAGGCGGGCTGATTTTTACGGCCCTGTAATACGGCTAACTGCATGTATCACACTTTAATTGAAGACGAATAGTACTTAATATACCCGGGAAAATTTGGATGTTGGATTAATTGTTCAAATCTGAATAGGTGGACCAAGTGAAAAATGATAGTTGATTATTACTTTATCCAATCCCTGGTGATTGAGTCCTTGCTTGCAGACTGGATTATAGGTATAATACTGCCTGAGGCACACTAAACATGTACTCTTCTGTCACCGCTAGGCGAAAAGCGGCATACAATAGAAGTTAGACTGGAGTCTAAGTATCCATGAAGTAAAGCTTAGAACACATAATTCAACAAATTTACGACGAGGCTTTACGACCTATGAAAGTAATGTGGAAAACTAATAAAAACAATCATTACGCGCCTGGGTTCGTGCACAGTGCTACGGCCCATAGTAACAGGATGGATGGCTATCGCCTACATAAGCCTGAGGCACTCATGTCGATGACTAATGTTGAAACACTTATACTACCATATGTTACAGCTAAACTACATATACATGAGACGGAAAAGTCGGATTCTTAAACTTCCAGTAGTGACGGTGTAATTTCTCAGTATTCTCTGCACATCTGGGATATCCGAGAAGAATCGCATCCCAATCGAAGTCGTTACGAAACACAAACACTTCTAAAATCAGCGACTTCTCATCAGTTTCGGTCTTATCATTCTCACGAGAGCCCTCCACCTTAACCCCTCCACACACCACCCCGCCTCAATAACTGATAAAGGCGTTACCCCAATTTCAAACAGGGGCTTGCCTCATTTGTTGCCGCCCACCACTCACTACAAATTCACGACGTTACGTATACCCGCAAGAAGAAAATTAAGTCATGACATACAAGGTTAGGGTCTTGGTCTATGGGGGACTGATGATCTAATGGGGTTATACATATTGAGGAAAGATAGGCGACTGGAGCGTGGTAAGATATAAGCAAGGGATCTCCTGTGGGAATAAAAGGTCCGATATTTTCGACATGTATTCGACCTTGGAACGTTTGTGGGCGTCATGACCAAGATTTCGGCGAATAGACTGGGAGGACTTCTATTGTCGATGAGTCAACGGTACAAAAGAACTTGGGGTAAGCCACCACACAGCAATCACGCTCTTTTAAGACTTTCCTGACATTTCAGCACGACCTTCGGAAAGAAGGAGGCTAGAAAGGCAGAGTGTGAATTCTCCGAGGTACCCACAAGTCTGCAGCGCCCAGCTGGCCGGCCTCTTCTAACGCTTCGGAAGGGTCAATATGTCTTCGGATTTAGTCCTAATGTCGGTATTAGGAGAGCTCCGCACCCAGTGATTTTTGCGATTTTTCCCGGCTGCCATACACCCGCAAATGGCCATCGTTTCTTTGGCTGCAGAGGGGAGATAATGAAGGGCTAAGGGCTCCTCTAAGTGTATGATCGAATGAGGACTTGTGAGGGGTGGTACTGTTTGAGGGGAGCTGTATGGGAGACATAGGAGGGGGTATACTACTGGTATAGGTATCCTTGGCCTGTAGGCAGAGAGGACCTGCATGTCCCACATAGCCATAGACTCAGACAGGACAATGAAATGAAATGAATTTAATTTAATAATATATACATATTTAAGTGATGACAACAGTGGATATATAATCCTGGCACACATAGCGACGTGCTTATAGTAATAATATTTTTTTGTAAAGTTTTAAATAAAACGACAAAAACTCGATCGCCTAAAGATACAGAATACAAACTATTTAATTCCTGGAGGGCAAGACTGAACACCTGTCAGTGGTGCTCTCTACGAACCTGGGAGTGAAATATTCTCCCAGAGCCAAGTTCAGTCAAATTTCGCAATATCAAAGAAGTTGGCCCACGAGGCAAAAATCCAAATTACTCATCCACGTCGTTATTTCGCTCCCAACGAGTTTGACTCCTATCTTCGTCTCATCGAGTCTACAAGTACGACCAAGTACATCCTCATCCCAATGACCACACCCCTCCGACCTTCTCTGGTCTCAGTCGACCACCAAATACACGCCCACGCCGATATTTATACCCGACGGAGGAAGCAAAGCATGGCGCACAAATCTGGGACACAATTCTTTGAGATGGACGTGAGAGGGATCTGGACAAGTTGACAAGATGATGCGAAGGACGGATATAACCTCGAAGGGCATGATATTCCGAATTTTGGCAAGGAGTTTTTCGAATTGGGCTTTGTGCGCGCCAAGACTTCGCTTGCGAGAGTGCAGCTCACACTATAAAAATAAGCAAACGATGGAAGGTGTTATGGTCTGCCTCTTGGTGGTGTTCTCCAGTATCGTTTGAGTAGCCTGGGCACCTACTCCACTTGGGAAGGAGACATCTCAGACCACATTTCGCGCGGAGAAAAGTTGATGGATGACGGAGGCATGTCTGGATAGCTCAGGGTTTTTGAGACGTTCCCCTGGCTGGGTATTCACGGATGAGGGTTGACTTGGGGTGAAGAAAAAGCCACCATAACTTCGCAGTGGTACTTGCAAATGAAATCTGAGGCATGAGTGCTTTTCCCTTAAGTTGAATCATCCATTCTGTACTTTTCTTTGAAATTGTATCATAGCTAGATAGCTGCATACGCAATTAAGATCTGATGCAAAAAAAAATATTTAATTCCTAAAAGCCTCATCTCCGAAGACTTCTAGACTATCAAAGTATGTAGTAATCAAATTGTAATCCTATTTATGCCGGTGCTCCACCGGCAGTCATCAATTGCATTTCGACAATCTTTATGATGAGGTAGGCCATAGTGGATAAATACCCACATCAATAGTAGAAGGCTATGTAACAGAGCAAAAATCCTAGTCCTTCTGGTTCATTACTCTTTGTTCATTGTTGTCGTGACTAAGAGTTCAACTATAATTCTAAGGTAAAAGTTTCGAAGTTCTCATCTACCTTTTCCTCCAAACACAAACCCATAAAGATGCACACCCAGCAACTTTGTGCCTCAACACAGACATGTTTATGTTGGATTATTGCTTAATATTTGTGTGGAAATAGGACTCAATCTTAATCGGTTAAGATGTAATAGTTACACCCTTTTTTTTTGCATCAGATTTTAATTGCGTATGTAGCTATCTAGCTATGACACAATATCAAAGACAATACAGAATAGATGATTCAACGTAAAAAATAGTTACACCCATTTACCAGGAATCTAAACAGCATTTGTTAGGCTGCTGGTATCCGCCGCTGATCATGCGCTAGCGGGTAGTCATTCTTTCGGATGTGCGCACTTCACTAATGGTGAGATCAATGAATACTTGAATAGCAGATACAGTAAATCATAGTCTCGCATGCGTGCATGGCATTAGAGACAAGCTGTGACTTTGAGTGGATAATAGACCACCTGGGATTTGCAAGTTCTATCTGCATCTTTGTGACCGATCTAACTAGGCTGTTTACAAGAAAAAAAAAGCAATGGGACTTCACATAAGAGGTCTTCTACAACAAATAAGATGAAAACTCATGACATAGATTGCATATCTTTACTTCCATCTATGATCCTAGCTACTTCATGTACCTGACCAAAAGACTATAAGAATTGTATATTGTGGGAATCAGACTCTATCTGGTATTTAAATAAAGTTTATTATACTGCAGGTTTACGCTGCTGTTCATGCGTCTTCGGGTACTCATACTTTCGGACATGTGCACAGTACTGGAGGCTGGAAAATTGAATACTGGACTAACGGACACAGTAAGCCACAGTTTCGGCAGTGCGCATGATATCGGAGGCAGATAGCAACTGGGATATAGATATGAAAGTAGGCAGTTACATGTTTACAATATAGTAAACTATACGGGATGGTATTTTTTATGATAAATATGTACCTTGAATTCTTGAAAAATTAATTTATGTTAAACTCTAGTGCAGCAGATCGATTGTTGTGTAGTAAATTTATTACTAAAGGATGGTCTCTAGTTATTACAAAATCTAATGTCTCGTGATGCTTACGACTTGGTCTGATACAACCTATTTCAACGATTTACATTTTTTACATTGAGCTGGAATCGCAGCCACATCATGCTCGACAGACAATAAATACTTCATGACTTTACACCTGTATAACCAAGATCAGGTACAAGAACTTTTTACTGTGATTGTGGTCAAAAATCATCATGAGCGGATATAATTCAGTCCCATCTAATTGCTATTGGGTGATTTGTCCATAGTCATAGACTCATTAGGGACTTGAATTTAATTCTATTGCTGGAAGATTTTTTTTTGCATTCAATTCGTTGCTGGACGATTTTGGAACTCTTCAAAAACTTACACTAAACCTTGGCATAAGCTTTTCTTAATTCTCTTGATTTGGCGCGCTGAGAACCCATGTGGGTATTTTCGAAAGGCATGTATTATGCATCATAGAAACAGATATTTTCCTCTTAGTTGGAATGGACAATTTCGAGTAACGGATCATACAACTTACTTGGTTGCGAGCCTTGCACTGGCTTGATGGTACACGTGCCGGTCAATATTCACCGAGTGATGTAAGTGGCAAGTTGTAGAGACAGTCTCTTTAGTGAAGGGGCTGTCATGCTTCAGTTACTCAAGTTATTGACGTGATAATTATCAGATTCATAAGAGTATAAGACTCTTTAAGAATTAGAGTAGATAGATTAACCGCAGTTGACATATGGGGACTTCTGTAAGACCAAACTCATATCACCACTGTCAAAAATCAATTCAATCCTGATTTATCTACACCCTGAATTTGCTATGCAGTGTCTCCAATTAAGTAAAAAAGTAATCAGAGTACTTGTATTTTAATATTAAGCGTATAGCGACTAGATTTGATGGTTGGACTTTTCATAATCAGATTTCATTTGCAGATACCACTTGAACTTGACCCTTACGGGATCTAACCTCATCCGTGAACAACCACAATAGAAAGGCATCAATACCTCACGGCATTCCGAATGTGTTTTTGGAGGGTAAGACTGAACACCTGTCAGTGGTGCTCTCTACGAACCTGGGAGTGAAATATTCTCCCAGAGCCAAGTCCAGTCAAATTTCGCAATATCAAAGAAGTTGGCCCACGAGGCAAAAATCCAAATTACTCATCCACGTCGTTATTTCGCTCCCAACGAGTTTGACTCCTATCTTCGTCTCATCGAGTCTACAAGTACGACCAAGTACATCCTCATCCCAATGACCACACCCCTCCGACCTTCTCTGGTCTCAGTCGACCACCAAATACACGCCCACGCCGATATTTATACCCGACGGAGGAAGCAAAGCATGGCGCACAAATCTGGGAAACAGTTCTTTGGGATGGACGTGAGAGGGATCAGGACAAGTCGACAAGATGATGCAAAGGAAGGATATAACCTCGAAGGGCATTAAATTCCGAATTCTGGCTTGGAGTTTGTCGAATTGGGCTTTGTGCGCGCCAAGACTTCGCTTGCGAGAGTGCAGCTCACACTATAAAAATAAGCAAACGTTGAAAGGTGTTATGGTCTGCCTCTTGGTGGTGTTCTCCGGTATCGTTTGAGTAGCCTGGGCACCTACTCCACTTGGGAAGGAGACATATCAGACCACATTTCGCGCGGAGAAAAGTTGATGGATGACGGAGGCATGTCTGGATAGCTCAGGGTTTTTGAGACGTTCCCCTGGCTGGGTATTCACGGATGAGGGTTGACTTGGGGTGAAGAAAAAGCCACCATGACTTGGCAGTGGTACTTGCAAATGAAATCTGAGGCATGAGTGCTCTTCCCTTACGTTGAATCATCCATTCTGTACTTTTCTTTGAAATTGTGTCATAGCTAGATAGCTGCATACGCAATTAAAATCTGATGCAAAAAAAAAAAAAAGAATGTGCTTTTTTTTTAATCATTTAATGTGTATTCAGCTATCTAGCTATGACACATGACCGGTGCTATGTATACATGTTGGATGACTCTTTCGACGTTAGAGACACTCATACTCTGGATTTCATTCCCAAATACCACTATGAGGTATGTTCGCTTACACAAACAGTCGACTCTCCTCAGTAAGTACCCACCAAAGGGAATTTCAAAACATTTGGTTATCCAAGCATGCCTTCGTCATCCATACATACCAGCGCCGCGAAAAAAGTGGTTGTGTTTTGCTGGATTTGAACCAGCGATCTACTGTCTCGAGTGGGATATGTGTCCAAGCTATCCAGACTCTAGTTGGCAGACCGGCCAAGACGATGTACCACCGCACCATCCAGCCATGGCAGTTTTTATAGTGTCGCCTGCACTCTCGTAACCGAAGTGTTGGAACGCAGAAAGCTCAGTTTGTTAAAACTCCTTGCCAGAATTCAAGATTCCACGCCCGTCGCGATTGTATCCATCCTTTGCGTCATCTTGTGGGCTTGTCCTGATCCCTCTCACATCCATCCCAAGGAATTGTCTTCCAGATTTGTGCGCTACGCTTTGATTCCTCCGTCGGGTGTAAATATCGGCGTGGGCGTGTATTTGGTGACCGGCTGAGGCCAGAGAAAGTCGACGAGAGGTGTGGTCATTGAAACGAGGATGTACTAGGTCGTACTTGTAGACTTGATGAAGCTTAGTTATGAGTCGGACTCTTTGAGAGTGAGGGGGAACTATTCTTAAAACTTGTCAGTGGTGTTCCCTACGAACCTCTAGTTCTCGATGTAGATTATATAGAGCCGAGATTGAGTTACAAGGTCCTCACTTCGACGAGGAATCCAAATCGCTTTCGAGGTCTGTATCATCTTCATCCCTAAGAACAACCACCTATCACCATTATCATGAAGCTAACCATCATTAGATCAGATGTTGGGGCCGAAGCTCTTCTCATCACCAACCCTTGATCATGGAGGAAAAGCTATCCGATGAGATTCCGGAGCGTACCCAGCACCCGATACGGAGATGGTGGATTGGATCAAGTCGACCTCGACTTTTACAAAGAAGGGAGATATAGATGAATATGCGCACCTCATGTGGTCCCGGTGTCTAGGCCTCGCCTGGCTGGGGCTGCAGGTTTTTGAGACTTTTTCCCGCGCACGCAGTTTCCATTGCTACCATTTATTTTTGGGTAGAAGGTTCCGTGGAAAAGGTGGCCGAATTCCACGGGTAAAGACTGAGCTGAATGGCTATTCATCAAGGGCAAAATATCAATGATCTTTTAAGAAAAATGTGAGGCAAGGAGCACCGTACAAGGTGCGGCCTGGGTCAGAGAGGAGCCCAATGTGCTAGATAGTCTAAGGCTCAAGTAGTACAATAAACACAAACACACACACTCCTGTAGTGCAGAGTCTAAGTTGAGAGTTTGAGATTCGTAGAGAAATCCGCAGATAGGTTTTGAGTTTTCGTCTCCTGAGGCTTGGTCTGGTCTATGTATTTGTGAAGTTCAACTCGATAACAGACCGATTTTGAACTGCATTCTGTAAACTTATCAAGGGATAAAACATGTAATGCTATGCCATATATCATAAATTATTGGTTTCCAGGAAGTGAGTAGAGAGGATGCTAGGGTATCCATTTTATAGACGATAGTACTCACCTGACTATTATGTGCCTCATGATATATCTTTGCTAACCAGCTCAACTTTAATTCCATCATTCTTCAAGCCGTTAGGCATATGCTGTTGGAGTGTGACAATACAAGTGAAGCTCTAATTTTTTTTCGATAAAGATTCAAGGATTTAAAACAAACCGTATCTATATTAATACTTAACACTTTCACCTTAAATTTATTAAGCATTTCACACCTATGCAGTATGCAGTATGTAATCCGTTAAAGACCTTAATAATAATTAAAGAAGTCTAGAGGCTTAAGATCTCGCCCAGATTTGTCATAATAATTTATCTAAGGAGCGGAAATGAGGGTTATCGCAATATGAAATAACCTGAGGGCAAGATATAATTTTCATAATTTTTCTTTAGAATTCAAAATGCACTTCCTTCGAAGCCTTCACCGGCTAGTGCTCTCACATGCTTCTCGCTCAAATAACTTTTCAGTTCCATTGCGACAGAATCTTTGCTCAATTTTTTCCATTGCTTAAGGCTTAACCTTAATTTCTCCTCTTTTGCGTGTAACTCTTCTCTTAAGACTTCTTCTTCAGCTTTTCGTTTAAGTCGCGTTGCGATGTCCGGCACAATTGCTAAAGCTGTTGGGTCAATTTTTCCACCAGGTATTATTGAAATCATATTAGCTAGTGCTGGATGTTGGCGCGACCCGCTGTTGCTGGCCACAGATTGGGTTGTGCGGTTATAGACAGAGGAGGTGTGTTGTAAGTTAAGACTTGTTCGTGAAGAAATTCCAGCTCGCGGCCCAGTAGGTATTCCAGTTGAAGAGTTACTAGGTGCAGGCGCTACAAATGACGCAGAGGATACAGAGGGAGACGGTGTTAGTACCTTTTGACTAGAGGGTATATTACCTTTTTGACTGGTATCTATTGGTACAATACGGTGAAGGGGTGGTGCTGCGCCCCATCGAGTATTATCCGATTTGCTCACCCAATCACTACCCGGTGTAGTCCTTCCACCTCTTATACTAGAGCCTCCACGGGGAAAGTAGCCTCGTGGACCTGCTGGTGGGACTACAGGTGTTACTGCAGAGTTCGAATTACTAGTTACTGGGCGAGAAATTATGGAATTTCTACTACCGCTAGCCGATGCTGGTAAGGATACACCTGAGGGATGAGAGCTAGATGGTACGATTGTTGTTCTTAGGCTAGAAGGTCCGCGTGGAGGTGATTTAGAAGAATCCTTATCACGTGATTTTAAGCTAGGAGAATGTGTTATTGTAGGCGAATGTTGTCTTGGTTGAATCTTGTTTGCATGCACTCTATCATCATAAGCTTGAGGTGAACGTTGTCTTAAATCGACTTTGTTTGAAAACCCCCGATTCTCATAAGCCTGAGGTGAACGTTGCCTTGACTGGACCTTATTTGGAAGCATCCGATTTTCATGAGCCTGAGGTGAGCGTTGCCTTGACTGGACTTTATCTGGAACCACTCGATTTTCATGAGCCTGAGGTGAGCGTTGCCTTGACTGGACCTTATTTGGAACCGTTCGATTTTCATGAGCCTGAGCTGAGCGTTGCCTTGACTGGACTTTATCTGGAACCACTCGATTTTCATGAGCCTGAGGTGAGCGTTGCCTTGACTGGACTTTATCTGGAACCACTCGATTTTCATGAGCCTGAGGTGAGCGTTGCCTTGACTGGACTTTATCTGGAACCACTCGATTTTCATGAGCCTGAGGTGAGCGTTGCCTTGACTGGACTTTATCTGGAACCATTCGATTTTCATGAGTCTGAGGTGAGCGTTGCCTTGACTGAACCTTATTTGGAAGCATTCGACTTTCATGAGCCTGAGGTGAGCGTTGCCTTGACTGGACTTTATCTGGAACCATTCGATTTTCATGAGTCTGAGGCGAGCGATGCCTTTTCTGGACCTTGTTTGGAAGTATTCGATTTTCGTAAGCCTGAGGTGAACGTTGTCTTGACGGAACCTTGTTTGGAAGCATTCGACTTTCATGAGCCTGAGGTGAGCGTTGCCTTGACTGAATCTTTTCTGGAAAAATTCGATTCTCGTGAACTTGTGGGGAACGTTGCCTTGACTGAACCTTCGTCGAGTCGTTTCTGTCATCATAAACTTGATATGACGAGGATTTATCAGTAGCCAATAAAGACTTTTCAAATTCTCTTGCAGGGGAAGTAAATGATTGACGCCCTCGACTTGTACCTTGACTTTTAGAAGTAGCTCGTAAATCAGGAATTCCGAGATGAGGATGCGAGCTTTTGGGTCCGGCTGGAGGCGAAAAACGGTGAATAGGAGATTTTGCTCGCTGAGACATACGATCACGCTCTATGGGAGATCTCGACTTTCTTCTATTTAAAAATTAGATTTCGCTGCTTTTCATAAAACTTTAATTCTGACCTGTCATCTCGCCTTGGTGGCGACCTCGCTCTACGTTCATTATCTCTTTGAGGTGAGAATCTATGCGGAGATGCTCTTCTGAGTGGAGATCTTGCTCTCCAGGTATTCTTCGATGGGGTTCGTTCTATTCTCGGTGGAGTTCTCGAATGACGCCGGAGCGACCAATCTCGACCGCCTTTTAGATGCCAGTTATCAACAGGAGATCTTACCCGATCTCTTCTTGGAGATCTATCTCTGTTCATTCGTAGACTATCAATTCTTATGGGTGATCTTGGCCTTGAACCGTATGGTTTGTATGATTCACCAGCACCGATTCTCGTGGTTTCCCCTCTCCTGTAAACTGTTAGCCATACGTGTATTTTGCTTTCTCTAATTCTGTACAATGAGAGGATATTTCTTGGGGGGGGTATCTTTATCTTGCAAATTTTACGAAATATGAAGGTTCTTTCTTCATTATGTGTTTAGCTATATGACAAGCGAACGATTCGCTGGAACCATTATCGCGATATTTTGCATTAGGTGAAGCAATAATTTTTGTTTTATGACTTGTTAACCAAACATACGAGGTACAAATGTCCAAACATGAAGGGTTGGAAATTTGGGGACTAGATTCATGCACAATATTTTTTCTGACCAACTGAGACTCTTTCTCCCATATTCATAGATAGCTAAAGGAATGATGAGAGGATTCATTCTGTTCTTGTGCTTATTTAGTTTTCGATACCATTGCTGTTTTTTATGTATGTTATAAAAGCCAAAACTTAAAAGACGCGAGCATGAAATTTATATGATAGTTTTTTGGTAGTGTCCTTTAGTACACTTAAGTAATTATTGGGAATTTAAGTGATTTTGAGTGAACCCAGAGGGCCTGATGTAATGTAGATTTGAATTCAGAATGAGTATCATTATGAACGGATGTATCTGTAACATATATTATTTTCATGAAACAGCACATCAAGCTGCAAAATTTTTGATGAGGCTCAAGGCAGAGTTCGTATAAATTGATAGCCATCGAGCTATTCAATTTCTTCATTATCATGACCTTGGTTGAATGTAAAGAATTAAATTTTTGCATCGAGTTGGAGAAGCCACTTCGTCAATTTAAATATGAACAAGAACTTGGTTTCATGACTCATATGCTCTGATTAATTCATCGCAAGTATTCCGGTTATTTTTCCAGTGTTGACTGTCAAGTCTGGTTCTCGAAGCAGTAGTGTATTCAAAGAAACTTGGTGAGGTGCTAGAATTAATATAACATACCCTAGAATCTTACCAGGGATAGCTCGAATTCAATAAAAGTAATTCACACTGAATATAAGAAATTAAAATTCCACTAACCTTCGATCGAAGCGTCCACGCTCTCTTTCAATTTCTCTTTCCCTCTCTTTTTCTCTGTCTCTATCCCGACTTCTCTCTCTACCTCTATCGACATCTCTGATTCTATCTATATCCCTGAGGCGATCTATATCCCGGGTTCTGTCGAAATCTCTGCCTCTGTCGACATTTCTAACACGGTCAATATCTCCAACTCGGTTATAATCCCTGGGTCTATCAATATCTCTTCCTTTACCTAAGTCTCTACTTTTGGTATCACCAACTCTTTCTGATTCCTTTTCTCGGCCTCTTTCTGTGCCTGTATCTTTGTTACGTGTCTCTTCCATTCGGATGGGCAATCAAGAAGCAGATTCAATGTAATGAAATTGTATATTTTACTTGATGGTATTAATTATTAAATTTTGACAGAACTAACACGTTATTGAGGTAATCGAGGTAATTTTGCAACGTGTGCAGGGATCAGCAAACGGATTCCCAACTAGCCACTGCAGTCAACAATTAGCCTCGCGCTTAGTCGTGGTCATGCATCTAGTAGCCTAACCATATATAAACTAATTATTCAACCATCCTTATCTGGCGCATAGAGGTCCATGCAGGTTTTACGGGGAAACATCTAGTAAAAGTAGGATGGCTCAATTTGACGTTTTCATCACTCACTCTCAGGTTTCATGAAGGGCAAGGCTGAACACCTGTACGCGGTGTCCTCTACGAACCTGGGAGTGAAATATACTCCCAGAGCCGAGTTCAGTCAAACTTCGCAATACAGAACAAGTTGGCCCACGAGGCAATGATTCAAAATACTCCACCATATCAATCTTTCACTCCCAACGAAATCGATTCCTACCTAAGCCTCATCAAGTTTACAAGTACGACCTAGTACATCCTCATTCCAATGATCACACTTCTCGTCGACTTTCCCTGGCCTCAGCCGGTCACCAAATACACGCCCACGCCGATATTTACACCCGACGGAGGAATCAAAGCGTAGCGCACAAATCTGGGAGATATATCTATGGGATGGACGTGAGAGGGATCTGGACAAGTTAATAAGATGATGCAGAGGATGGATACAAACTTGATGGGCGTGAAGTTTTGAATTTTGGCATGGAGTTTGTCGAATTGAATTTTGTGTGCGTCAAGATATCGTCTGCAAGAGAGCAGCTGACACTATAAAAATAAGCAGAAGATGGAAGGTGTTATGGTCTGCCGCCTGGTGGTGTTCTCTGGTACAGTCTGAGTAGCCTGGGCACCTACTCCACTTGGGAAGGAGACATCTCAGATTACATTTCGCGCGGAGAAAAGTTGATGGATGACGGAGGCATGTCCGGATAACTCAGGGTTTTTGAGACGTTCCCCTGGCTGGGTATTCACGGATGAGGGTTGACTTGGGGTGAAGAAAAAGCCACCATAACTTCGCAGTGGTACTTGCAAAATGAAATCCGAGGCATGAGTGCTCTAGCTATAATTGAGTCATCTTTTCTGCACTTTTCTTTGATATTGTGTCATAGCCAGATAGCTGCATACACAATTAAGATCTGGTGCAAAAAAAAAAGACTCGTGCAGATGAGGTTCCTGATGGATTAGTATGTATGAAAAGTGAGGTAAGCTTAGCTTTAAGATGGCGTAGGTTACGGGTTTCTCGTGGCTCCAATCTACCAATATGTATAGTAGAGCCTAAGACTAGATGCAACTTAATTATCTATTAATACAGGGTATCGTCTATATAAGTACAGTATTCCTGATCTTGCGCCCGGACTCCAACGTGAACAACATTACATAAGCCTTACAATTTACGAGAGCCTCGTACTAATCTAGAGGTCTGTCAATCTTGGATCTTCACAGGTGTCTACGAACTCTAATATTTTTTTTTAAAATAACCTAGTGTGTATTCAGCTATAGAGCTATGACACATGATCGGTGCTATATTTACATGAAGGATGCCTCTTTTATCGTTAGAGACACTCATACTCTGGATTTCATTCGCAAATACCACTATGAGGTATGCTTGCTTACACAAACAGTCGACCCTCCTCCGTAAGCACCCACCAAAGGGACGTTTCAAAACATTTGGTTATCCAAGCATGCCTTCGTCATCCATGCATACCAGCACCGCGAGAAATGTGGTTGTGTTTTGCCGGATTTGAACTAGCGATCTACTGTCTCAAGTGGGATATGTGTCCAAGCCATCCAGACTCTACTTGGCAGACCGGCCAAGACGATGTACCACCGCACCATCCAGCCATGGCAGTTTTTATAGTGTCGCCTATACTCTCGCAGCCGAAGACTTGGCACGCACAAAGCTTAATTTGTAAAAACTCATTTCCAAAACTCAAGATTCCACGCCCGTCGAAACTGTATCCGATCCTCTGCATCATCTTATCAACTTGTCCTGATCCCTCTCACATCCATCCCATAGATATATCTCCCAGATTTGTGCGCTACGCTTTGATTCCTCCGTCGGGTGTAAATATCGGCGTGGGCGTGTATTTGGTGACCGGCTGAGGCCAGGGAAAGTCGACGAGAAGTGTGATCATTGGAATGAGGATGTACTAGGTCGTACTTGTAAACTTGATGAGGCTTAGGTAGGAATCGATTTCGTTGGGAGTGAAAGATTGATATGGTGGAGTATTTTGAATCATTGCCTCGTGGGCCAACTTGTTCTGTATTGCGAAGTTTGACTGAACTCGGCTCTGGGAATATATTTCACTCCCAGGTTCGTAGAGGACACCGCGTACAGGTGTTCAGCCTTGCCCTCCATTGTGCGATTCTGTGTAGGTCTAAATGTTCATAACTGTCTTGTCTTCTACACTACACAGGATTTATACCTTGCTTGTTCAATAATTTAAAAAAAATTTCATACCTATACCGTGGATCCTGGCTAGCGCATCCATGCTGAGGTCATCATAATTCCGACATAATGACACATTTGTTAGAGGAGACGACGTAGGCTGAACACCTGTCAGTGGTGTCCTCCACGAACCTGGGAGTGAAATATTCTCCCAAAGTCGAGATTCAGTCACGAAGAGGGGTGGGATGAATTTATTTGACAGATTTTTGACTTGAAGGAGTTGCACTCGATATTTTGGTCAATAAATCAGTCGACAGAGATTTCATAGCCGGAACAAAGTTTAACAAAAACTCATCACCACTAACATACGATTCACGAATGGGCCTAGGTCTGTCTGGGGGTCGTATTCAAACATCCGAAATCTCTTAAACTACTTTTGTACTTGCGACGAAGCATTTCTCAATCGATCCTACACCTGCGACCTACCTCCATACCCGTCCGATCACCTACCTACACACGCCCTAATGAGGAAAGTCATGATGGAAACGGGACGTTTACAAAGGCGGAAGAAGAGGAAAGATAAACCGAGGGGATTACACAAATCCCCAATGACGAAAACAACCCAACGTCACGATATGAAGGTGTAAGGCTAGAGCAACGATGAGATCTTGGACGGCATTTATATTTCAGAGCCAATGAGGATATCAAGGGCTCGGGCGCGTGGTGGCCGAGGCTGAAGAGGAAATCGCGCTACGGCGTGTATACAGCAGGTTTCTGGACGGTTAGGCTTGGTATGATTCAACACATAGGTGAAGTCTGAGGTGGTCCGGTCATCAAAGTGGGACGAGGTTTATCTGTGTTACGGTTTGACCGTGGTTTAGCTTAGGCGGAGACCTAAGCGGAGTTTGGGGGCGTATTAGGGAGAGTGTTACATATTATCTTGTATCAAGCGACTAAGTTTCACTTGGCCACATTACATTAAAGCTAGGAAGGAATGTGAGACGGCGAAGTAGAATTGCCAAATGAGAGAGTCAGCTAGATGGCAAAGATGACGACGGGCAGTGGCGGAGCAATATGTCATTGTCACCAACAGAGTACGTATTGGATGAGCTAGAAGGATGTACAAATAGTCATTGCCCGTAGTTGTGATACTTCTCTCTTCATATAGTTTAATCTTTCTAAAAGTACAATACAACCAGCTTGGTTTCGTCACAATCTGTACTTCACGGCAGTTAACCTGATCCAGCCCAACCCCACACGTGCTTAAGCTCCAATAGGAGTTCAATGGTACTCATGTAACCTAGCACATTAATGAATAAGACAAGACCTGCTACATCCCCTAGATCAAAAATCACTCCTTTTCCCGATAAAGATTTTTTTTTGATTTTATGGTCCTAAGCTAAGCTCTATATCTCCTATGAGTCAAAGACCGGTGTACACGGCCGAGATCATGCTTTCCGCATGCCAATCTCGGTTTCACCGCGTGAACCACTACACAACCAGTAGCTAGTTAAAAGAAAGAAAAATAGAAACTCCCGTAAACTCCCATAGCTAAAGTTCCAAGCCCAGTAATCCAGTTTGTGGTTAGAAAAACGACACTTTTCGTCTCGTTTTCCCACTTGCCATATATCGTGCTATGACTAATTACCACCATCTCCGCTGAGAGCTGGAGACGGATCCGTAGGTGGGCCCCCGAAGCAGCCGGTTTCCTGCGCAAATTTTGCAAAGTTCTCGAGGCACTTAGGCCCGAGAAGCTTGTGGACAAAGTCGTGATGTGACATTGTACCTCGTAGTCGACGCGTCTGGCGTGCGTGCAGTCGACAGTGAATAAAATGGAGAGGTGATGTTTCCTCCCCACACGCACTCTCCATTGAAGCTGCGAAGTTTCCGTGGCCCGTACGGGCTGAGATCAGTTAATGGAGTAGCCGCCGAGAAAGTGCCTGCTCGCGTGGCTTGCTTCGTCGCATGAGAAGACCCAGATTTCGATATCTAAGTGGACATGCTTCTTCCCAACAGTCGTCAAGAAGCGTTTGCCTATTCCGGTCCATAAGCTGACGAACGTACGCCAACGTGACGGAGCCAGGCTGGCTCTCTTTACTTGGCAGTTGTCGGAGGCTGGAGCGTGCAGCTCTATCGGCCTCTTCGTTTCCCTGTATCCTGGAGTGGGCTGGTATCCACTGAACCGAGACTCGAGCCTTTTCTGATAACGCTCTAAATTGTTGCACGTCGTCGAGACTTGTTGTGGCAGTTCCCGTCAGCAGTGCCTTCACTGCAGACTGACTATCCGTGAATACATTGATCGGCTGCCTGCCGTCCCTTCCACTGTTCTCCCTCTCCAGCAATCCCAGCGCAGCTTGCAGGGCCTTTGTTGCCCCTAAAATTTTCGCATCAAGTACTTCACCACCATGCTTGATGCCGTATCCCTTCAATAGAGTCTTTCCATCCCTCTTCAAGACGAAACCCCATGCTGAGCGACCATGGCCCTCCGACGATCCATCCGGGTAGGCACAAATATCCGATGCTAGTACATCTCCAAGG